TCCATCAGTACTTATACGGAAGAAGGTTTACCCTCTTTACAGATCATCAACCTCTAACGGCTATTCTCAGTTCCAACAAGAGAATTCCATCCATGGCAGCAGCTAGAATGCAACGATGGGCTCTTATATTAGCCAAGGACTATGTCCTTGAGTATAAGAAAGCAGCCTTACATGCCAATGCGGACGGACTGTCGCGGCTGCCATTACCAGTGACGCACGCTGAGAAAACGGACACGGTGGATGTCTTCTATGCTGCCCAGATAGCCACCCTGCCTGTCAGTAGTGCTGAAATTAGACGGGACACCCTAAAGGATCCCACTTTGTCACCTGTGCTGGACATGGTTTCAACTGGACGGTTCCCAATATTTAAAGAGGTACCTCAAGGCTTGCTACCTTTGGTGACACGTCGCAATGAGCTCACAGTTGTTCAAGGATGTTTAATGTGGGGAAGTCGTGTCGTGGTACCAATCAAGCTTCGCAACCGGGTGTTATCTGATCTGCATTTGGGCCATCCTGGGGTGGTAAGGATGAAACATCTGGCCCGTATGTTTGGTGGCCGGGTATTGATGGACAGATTGAATCTCAGTCCAAAGCATACGTGTCAGCGTATCCAAAATGCCCTCTGTCCTGCGCCACTTCACCCATGGGTTTGGCCAGCTCATCCGTGGGAGAGGATGCATGTGGATTTTGCCGGTCCTTTTGAAGGCTATATGTACTTCATTGTAGTGGATGCGCACTCCAAATGGCCGGAAGTGTCGATTATAGATAGTACTACCACCAGCAAAACCATTCAGGTCTTACGAGGACTTTTCAGTCATTATGGCGTCCCTAATGTCATTGTCAGTGACAACAGTCCCCAGTTTTGTGCTGAGGAGTTTTCACTTTTCCTGAAGGCAAATGGGGTTTAACATATTTGATCTGCCCCATATCACGCCTCGAGCAATGGGCAAGCTGAACGTTTTGTCCAAACATTCAAACATGCTCTAAAAGCGTCAAAAGGGTCAGCTCCAATCCAACAGACACTTGTTGGATTCCTGTTAACATACAGAAACACTCCGCATGCTACCACGAAGGAGTCACCTGCAATGCTTTTCCTCAATCGCAAACTAAGAACCCGGCTGGATCTTCTAAAGCCTAGTCTCGCCAAAACAGTGAGTCAGTCCCAAGATGCACAACAGTTCCGACGCCAAAAACACTCTAAGTTCAGAGAATTTCGTGCTGGAGAGTCCGTTCTTGCTCGTGACTACAGAAAGGGGGGAAAATAGATACCTGGAGTGGTGATGTCCAAAACGGGACCTGTCTCCTACGTTGTCAACGTGGGTGCTTCTGGAATCTGGAAACGTCATGTAGATCAATTAATGAAACAAGGGACTGAATCCTCTGAAACTTAGATGGAACCAGAAGTTCCTGCTGGTCCTGATAATTGGCAGGCATCTCCGCTTCAGGAGAACATCGGGGAAAAGACTGACAATCTTGTGGAGGTGATGATTGACACACCAGGGTCAGGCAACATTGACCAATCACCCCCAGGGACTGTACAAACTGGAGAGACTATTAAGCGTTATCCTACCCGTCTCACTAGACCACCTGACCGTTATCAAGCATTCTAATATATATAAAAGGGATAGATGCATGAAGAGTAAGATGTGTTCACTAAGTAGTGGTTAAAGTTGAAATCAAGAAAAGAAATATTCCCTTTGTTGTGTTTGACAACCCTTGATTTAAGTTGGGAGGAAATGTTATGTATTTAGTGTTGGTAACTGGGTTATTGTGCAGTTGTTTTCTTATGCTGCAGATGGCGCTGTGTAGCCATGTGTCCCTTGAACATTGTAACAGAAAAAGAAGTCAGTTCGAAGCATACTCGGTCTCAGTGTGTTATTGTTGTGATAGCTCCTCAGGATATAAAGATATTCTGATAAATGCAACAGAGACCTTCCGTCTCAGGCAGGGGGCGCAATATCACACCCCCGGCAGGGGATTTGGAAACTGTGGGTTTGGCCCCTGAGGGGGCCCAACTCATAGAGAGTGGTCTCTCAACCGAGGTTGTTGAGACCATTCTAAGCTCCAGAGCTCCAGCTACGAGGAAACTATATTCACTGAAATGGAGAGTTTTTCACTTCTTGGTGTTACCAGCGCCAGCGGGATTCGGTTAACTGTTCGGTCAACACAGTACTTGAGTTTCTGCAAGAACGCTTTGCATCAGGTTTATGTCCTTCCACGCTTAAGGTCTGCGTGGCGGCCATTGCGGTTTTCCACGCCCTGGTGGGTGGTACATCTTTGGGTCGAGACCCCCTGATCACTCGTTTCCTTCGTGGCACCTTGAGGCTGAGGCCTGCAACTCGCACTAGGGTACCGGCTTGGGACCTGGCAATAGTACTAGAAGGCCTGTCTGGGGCTCCCTTTGAGCCCTTAGACTCAGTCTCAGAGAACTTTCTTACTTTTACATCCCTACCAGAAGCCTACGATCGGTCAATGAGCGACGGCTCGTGGTACCATCACAGCGGGGCACAAAATCACTCTCCAGAACATTCTCATTCACGGTTCCATGCTGGTGGAATGATCTCCCCACCCTCATCCGGAATGCAGAATCCCTGACAACATTCAAAAGACAACTGAAAACTCATCTCTTCCGGGAGCACTTAACTTAAAAAAAAAAAATAAAAAAAAAAAAAAATCCTTTCCTCTAAATCCTCGCTTGCCTGCCTTATGCTACTCCGAGCTATGGCTGAACTTTGTATTTTGAGCACTTCTTGCGTTGCTTTTGCCTCTTCACGATGACTCGCTTGGTTTAGTCCTCAGTTGTAAGTCGCTTTGGATAAAAGCGTCTGCTAAATGACTAAATGTAAATGTAAATGTACTTTTAAGACTATTTTTCTACTAGCTATTTCGTCCCTCAAAAGAGTCGGAGACCTTCAGGCCCTTTCGGTTTCTCCCACCTGCCTTGAGTTTGCACCGGGGATGGTCAAGGCATTCTTATACCCTAAACATGGATATGTTCCTAAGGTGCCTACCATTATTCCGAGGCCTATTGTGCAACAGGCTTTCTGTCCTCCTCCGTTTACCTCGTCGGACCAGGAAAAGCTGAACCTCTTGTGCCCAGTGCGAGCCCTGGACACTTATGTTCATCGGACTTCTCCGTGGAGAAAATCCGACCAATTATTTGTCTGCTTTGGATCACCCAAGAAAGGTCTTCCTGCCTCTAAGAAGACATTGAGCAAGTGGATAGTTGAGGCTATTTCTCTTGCTTATGAGTCCTCTGACGAGCCATGCCCCTTGGTGGTCAGAGCTCATTCCACTAGGAGTATGGCAGCTTCTAAAGCCTTATTATCTGGAGTTTCTCTCCAAGACGTTTGTGATGCGGCAGGCTCACCGCTCACATTCGTCAGGTTTTATAGCCTGGACCTGGACGCTGCCCCAGGGCCTCAGGTGCTTAGTGTAGTACTGACAACAGGCTGGGTATTCTCGTTCCCAAAGCGTCATCGACGCATCGAGAGTTCCCCCGAAAGGGAACGTCTCAGGTTACGACTGTAACCCTAGTTCCCTGAGATAGGGAACGAGATGATGCTTCGCCCTGCCATACTTCCTGCATCCCTGTGATCGACTTGCTTCGGCAATTTTCGAAGCTAATGCTGGTTGCATCGGATGCGCTTTTATCTCTTCCTGGTCATGACATCACTCGCCTGTGACGTTCATTCCATCCATTGGACTAGTTGACATAGATGCTTCAGACGCATTCACGCTGGAAGTGTTCCCAAAGCGTCATCGACGCATCATCTCGTTCCCTATCTCAGGGAACTATGGTTACAGTCGTAACCTGAGACGTGTCATATCTCGTTTCACCAACTCAAGATTACACAACCCTGTATATTTATATAAGTCTATAGAGACACCTAGTGACTACAGTATGGTATTTTTTTATTTTTTTATTTAAATAAATAAAAAAATACTTAGTTTATACACAATATTTAAAAAAGTCTACACCATCTACATATTAGTGTATTTTAAAATGCATGTTGATCAAGGCCGTGATCTTTCTTAATTTCACTGACTGAGGTCCACTTTTCCAGCTCAGTTCCCAGTAGAAACTTACTTACAACTGCGATCATACAAACAATAGAATTTTAAATCACAAACACTAAATTTGAGCTAACATGATTTCCGTGCTAGTTGGATGTTGAGTCCTTTCATACAGAAAGCATCTTCACAGCTGGAAGGCATGGTTCGCACTATACAACTATGTTCTTTCCTTTTTCTTCTTTGAAAACAAAATAACTGTGAAATTTCCAGGCATGAAACCGTTTTCCCCACGGGAAGCATCATAATTTAGAATTTGTTATATAATATTTTATATATACACACTGAACAAAGTTATAAACGCAAAACTTTTGTTTTTGTGGATTTCATAAAAATTCATTTTAAAACATATTTTGTCAGTGGCGACTAGCCTATATGTAGCTCAACTTCTGCATTCATTACAGTGCATAATAAACACCAAAATAAGGTGATATTTTGTCTGGTAAACTTTATCCTATCAGACATGTTGACCAGAAGCAAGTTACTGGTGTGTTTTCTTTGCTCTTTAATATTTTTCTACAGTATAAAGATGTGAATTAATGTAGTGATTAAATCTTATTTTTCAATAGCAAAACATATCCAAGCTGTCATTCTGACTGACACAATAACAATTCTATTCATTCATTCTAACAGGGCTTTTATTTTGAAGTGAAGCACTTCTGTTTTGGATCTAATGAATACAAGTTTTTACTAGTAATAATACAATTGTAGAGCGCCATAACTGGAATTTTTAATAGAACGAGTTGAATTGTAGAGCTCTCTAATTTAAGTGAAAATGCCATTACGATGAGTAGCGCTGGGAAGATTGTGAACTGAAGCGGCCCAGACTCGGACCAGCTCGAGTGCTTGAGTTCAGTGTAAACGCACCGCACATTCACTGCACCTCTACGAAACAAGACTTTCACAGTCTTCAGACCAGGACCGACCGGTGGGTTTATGGAGAGTCTGCGTGAAGTTCGCTGGCAGCTGCAGAACAAAGTTGGATGGATTGTTGTCTTTACTGAAACCCTCCACAGCTTTAGACTGAACGACCTTCGACTCCCAGAGCTGAAACACACACACACACACACCTCTATCTCTGCACAGTGATGGTAATCACCGTCAGAAATCAACTGGCAAGCTTGTTTAATGCATCTTATTCCTCTGGTGTTTGCAGTGAGTGACTGATTCCTCTGGTGTTTGCTGTGAGACACTGACCTGTCTGAGGTTGTCCAGTACTCCTTCATCCACTCCTTCATCACAGAATAACTCTCGGAGACTCTCCATCACATCCTCGATGACGGACAGATACAGCTTCGGCTGAACATCAATCACATTCAAACATCTCATCCTCTACTTTCACACTAACTCATAATATTCAGTTCGAGTCCACCTTAGTAGAGTCAGAATCGAGTCTTTAACCAATCGAGCCCAACTAAACAATACTGTATTTCATCAAGTCAATATTTTTTTTTAAACCTTAACTTATAAAAAACAAATTAGTTTTAAATGTAACAAAAGCTCTATTGCATCTTGCTTGCCTTTTTGATTTCAAGTCATATAGTATTCTGCTCAACTGCAGGTCATGCAACGGAAGCCGCTTGATCTCTGTACTGTGGGAACAGCTTGTGAATGTAAAGGGCTTGACCATCACATCTGTAACGGGATGAACTGGTGATCGGGTGAACTGGTGATCGGGTGAACTGGTGATCGGGTGAACATGATCGGGGGAACTGGTGATCGGGGGAACTGGTGAACCGGTGATCGGGTGAACTGGTGATCGGGTGAACTGGTGATCGGGGGAACTGGTGATCGGGGGAACTGGTGATGGGGTGAACCGGTGATCGGGGGAACTGGTGATCGGGGGAACTGGTGATCGGGGGAACTGGTGATCGGGGGAACTGGTGATGGGGTGAACTGGTGATTGGGGGAACTGGTGATCGGGTGAACCGGTGATCGGGTGAACCGGTGATCGGGGGAACTGGTGAACTGGTGATCGGGGGAACTGGTGATCGGGGGAACTGGTGAACTGGTGATCGGGTGAACCGGTGATCGGGTGAACCGGTGATCGGGTGATCGGGGGAACTGGTGATCGGGGGAACTGGTGATCGGGGGAACTGGCTGGTGATCGGGGAAACTGGTGATCGGGGGAACTGGCTGGTGATCGGGGAAACTGGTGATCGGGGGAACTGGTGAACTGGTGATCGGGGGAACTGGTGAACTGGTGAGTGGTAACAGCCCAGTGCTACTGAAGCTCTCCTCGGGGTCAGGCTGTGTGTTGTGTGCGTTATGACGGGTGGTTAGACATTATTCAGGATACGTGCCATACTGAGCGTTTTCCTGGATGATAATGGCCCTCATTTATCAAAAGTGCGTACACCAAATTTCCAGCGTACACCTGGCGTACACCCAAAACCACGGTGACTTTGAGATTTATCAATATGGACGTTGGCGTACGGCACGCTCAAATCCTACGCCAGCTCAGGAGGTGGTGTACGCACATTTTGAGTTAGTGCGGAAATGCGCAGAAAAACAATTCCTAACACCACAAAATGCACTGACAAACTAAAAGATATGATATATTATGACCCACTGTAAAACAAAAAAACAAAAACATAGTAATTATTTACTTCAGTGTTTATTTTGTGCAACATGGACTTCAATGTTTAATTTGTGTGACTTTACCAAAGCATTTGATTTATAAGCGTATTCCTTCAGTTGCGAGCCTGTGCGCTTTACCCTGACGTTTCATGGTTTGGCCCGGCAGGTGCGCACGGACTGAGTTCGGTAACGAAAGGCTTTCAATGACCAAAAAAATGATTCAGACTGACAAAATAATAAAAAATACATTCTTCTTCTTTTAAATAATAATAATAATACAAATAATAATACTCCACATCACATCATCATCATCACTATTGTACACACCAATACATGTAACGTGATTCGAAATTGAATGCTAATTCAGAAGACGTGCTGTAAAATATTGCATTGCTGTATAGGTCATTTCGGCTCCACGTCAGAGAAGTTTCTCTTCTTTGCCGTCTTCCGTGTGTCCATGGCGTAAAATGAGGGCGTGGGGGAAGCGGAGACTTGAATATATAGGGGCGTGCTATTCTAATGACGATCGTTTTCAGCCGCGGGATTTATCAAGGGCAGGTATTGCGTACACCTGGATTTCAAAGGTACGCACAGCTTCATAAATCAGGCGGTGAGAGGAGTGTAAGCATAATCTTACGCCAACATATACGCTTGTTTCTACGCAAGAATGATAAATGAGGGCCAATGAGACTGAGGGAACACAAATGAACTGTGAATGTCCGACGTGTAACTTCCATAACTCAGGGCAAACTCAAAGCGGTTTAATTTTTTAATGCATTTATGATTAACAAATTAAATTATTGGAAGTTGGGGAAGAAAGATGGCGTCGTAGAGTGAACATATTTTTTGGCGAGCTCTCGGGACATTAGTTCAAATATTCGATTAATTAATATTTTCACACAGCGGAATCATTCTACGAGCTTAAATGGTTTTTGTGGCATGTCTTTAGATCAATATTTTTCAAAAGGATCTGACAGAATGCCGAAAGCTAAGAAGAATGTGCCGAAAAGTTCTACTATCAGCGCCGGCGAGTTGGGTGCTGATATGAGCGACGCGAGCATGAGTCGTGAGGAGGAAATTTCCAACTCCAACTTTGCTCAAGCTCTGGACAAATTAACTGAAAACATTACGAAGGTAATAGATGAGAAAGTGAATGCTGTCCTAGCCGCGATAAATGATCAAACCGTTCAGTTCCAAGCCTTGGTGGAGAGAGTGGGCCAGGCGGAGGAACGAATAGCTGGTGTGGAAAATTCAACGGAATCTCTGCAGGCCACCATGGCTGATCTCCATAAAAAAAATGAACGAAATATCAGCGCACATCGACGATCTGGAGAATCGCGGGTGCAGGTGTAATTTGCGTCTTATCGGTCTTCAGGAGGGCGCGGAAGGAAGCGACCCGGTGCACTTCTTTGAAAGGTGGTTGCCCGATCATTTCAAGATTGCAACGCAGGCTGGACGGATTAAGCTTGATCGTGCTCATCGCGCTTCAGCGCCATTACCAGGACCTAAGCAGAGACCCAGACCTGTCATCATAAAGTTTACGGACAAACAGCGAGTGTTGGATGCAGCTCGTCGTGTTGGCATGGATCCCGAAAGGAGCACTGACGCAGGACCGAGGACTTCGTTCTTCAACGATTACTCTGCGATGGTGATAAAGAAACGCAAGGCTTTCGACGATGTCAAACGACGACTGCAGAAGATGAAGATTGAGTATTCCCTGCTGTATCCTGCAACTCTGAGGCTGACCATCAACGGGACAGTGAAGCGCTATGCCTCTTCAGATGACGCGACTGAGTTCGTTGACAGCCTGGTATAATTTGGTGAGCTTTCGCGGACAGTTAGGCTATGTGGTATTTCAACAAAATAACATACTGAGGGAAGATGTATCATGTTACTGAGAGCGTGGTGAGGTTTGTGTTTACCCTATGTTCAGAGATGTGAGTGGTGTTTGGGGAGGTAGGCAGTTGCCTGCAGAAGAAAAGAGTAAAAACAGTTCTTCCTGCATGTTTGGCAGGTTTGTTCCCTTGGATAGTTTTCTGTGTTCTGTTTTGATTTAATTTAATTTTTGTTTGAAGCTCAGATTTCCTAAGGGTTCCCTTACAGGATTATACTCTAAAAGCATCTGTTTTATGTTTGCACTGATTGCCTGTACAATATTGAATGTCTAAAGTGCTTAGGATTTGCACTTGGAATATTCGAGGTATCCATAATCCTATAAAGCGGAGAAAGATACTTGCTTTTTTGAAAAAAAAGGAAATATAGAAATTGCTCTTTTACAAAAAAAGTAAATTGAAATTACAACAGGGTGGTTTTGGGCAGGTATATTTTTCTTCTTTTACAACTAGAAGTAGAGGTGTTGCCATTCTCATTAAACGTAATTTACCGTTCAAAATTGTAAACTGTATTAGGGGCGGTCGTTATGTTATTGTTGTAGGCTTGTTGCAAGGTAAAACTATTCTCATATTAAATATGTATTACCCTCCGGCTCATCCTTCTGACTTTATTACTAAAGTGTTTCTGGAATTGAGTGCCAGGTCAGCAGATTTAACAATTGTGGGTGGAGATTTTAATTGTGTAATGAATCCTCTTGTAGATAGACACCCACATAGCTCTGCGTCTCTAACTGCTCAGGCGAGATCCCTGCAGAATATTTGTAAAGATCTTGGTTTTGTAGATGTCTGGAAAACTCTTCACCCTGCTGATAAGGAATATACTTTTTTTTCTACCTCCTATAAGTGTCAGTCCAGATTAGACTACTTTTTTAAGCCAAAAACAGATCTACACTTAGTACTATCTTGTAATATTGAAAGCATTTTACTGTCAGATCATGCCAGTGTCCAGGGCCGTCGCTAGTGGGGTGAAAGGTGGTGACAATAATAGGGGCCCCCGCTGCCCAGGGGGCCCCACAAATGCCAGCAGTTATACTATAGGCCACTGTTGCATGAATACTTTTAATATTTATATTAGTTGTATGCCTGAGATTTGAAATAAAAACCACAAAAACATGCAATTTGGTTAATTCATTTTTCCAAATATTTGCTTCTCTTACCACACTTAAAATGGTTTAGTCCGATGACTCCGATCTATTTATTAATTATTCAGTCAGTGACAAACATCAGAAGGACCCAATAAAATTGTAAGTCCCACCCCAGCTCGTGAACAGAACCAATCAGAGTTGAGGCGGCAGCCTGAAGTTAACGATGAACTTGGTGGAAGAGCAGGAGACTGACTGACTGAAAAATGTCGGGGAAAATAAATGCCAGGAAAAGACGGAGAGAGAGGCAAGGAGAGTGGTTGTATCCCAGTCGATATTGTTATTTCGCTGGGAATTAGAAAACTTCCGTCTACAGTCTGCCGTGTACAGTCATTTTTTTATTATCGGTGCGCGCCACAATCGACCGAATGATTACGTGGTCTAAATTCCTGTCTTTTTACACTATTGTAAATTGAGTTTTAAAAAAATTGCATTGCATTATGCATCTGACCTGCCGGCTGATGATATTAAAACATCGAGAAAACACGAATACAACACACTGCACTTGGATGACCCTATGATTGTTAGCCAGAGGAGAACTGGCCCCTGACTAGCCTGGGTTCTCCCAAGGTTTTTTTCTCCATCCAATCTGATGGAGTTTTGGTTCCTTGCCACTGTCGCCTTGCTTTTGGCTTGCTTAGTTGGGGATATTTAATATTCAACAATATTATTGAACTGTGTTGTA